CCTCTAGGTCTTCCATGACCAGGTCGATGGTCTTCTTCCATGAAGAAGACTTTTGGTACTGCTATGAAGATGAAATCTAGGACTTCTATGAAGAAGACCTTTGCGTCTTCTGTGAAGAACACCTTTGGATCTATGAAGAAGATCTTCTGGTCTTCTATCGAAAAGAACTTCTTATCTTCAATTGAGAAGACCTCTGCGTCTTCTATATGGAGAAGACCACTAAAGGCCTTCTATAGAGAAGACCTCTATGTTTTCCATGGAGAAGACGTTTAGGTCTTCCATGAAGAAGATCTCTAGAAGACCGTAAGGTCCCTATTCAAATGACCATTTGGGCTTCTATTGAGAAAGCCTGTAGGTCTACAATCGAGAAGACCTTTAGGGATTCTATAGAGGAAACCATTAGGGCTTCCACCGAGGATATCCTGTGGCCTTCTGTTGTAAAGAATTGAAGGTCTACTTTAAAACACTTTTTAAGCATATGTCGAGAAGAAACTTTATGTGACCTGTGGAATACAATTTTTGGTCTTCTATGGAGAAGACCTTTGCGTCCTTTTCTTTAAAGTATATATTCTTCCGGTATTCAATGAAGAAGACTCTCGAGTTAATAATGGAAAAGACCTTTGGATTTTTTTGAAAAAAAAAAAAACTTTTGGATCCTCTGTGAGGAAGACTTTAGGGTTTTTCTCCGAGAAGACCGTTGATACTGTTTCTTTATCTTCTTTATATCTTTTACTGTCTTTATGTGTATTTTTAATACCTCCACTCCGAGAAGTATATCGACGCCTTTGGCAAAAGTTACCCTTTTGTTAATTGCGGATGTTGGCGACAGAAGAGTGCGTAAGGTTTGCTGCTTCGAGCAATCAATTACAAGTCATTGTATTCCTCCCACACTTCACCCTTCCCACAAACACCCCCACATAAATTTTACTAAATGGTGACAACAGCATAACTTCCGCCAGTGATGGGGGCGGTTATTTTCCCCCCTTTTCTAATTTCAGCGAAGTTTATCAACAAGCCACATTAAAGAAGTTACACATCAACATCAGATGCACGACGAACAATGGTAAATATATTTTGAAATAACAATCGGAAAATTTTTTAGAATCGCGATGGAAAACTTAAGGATTTAACAGAAATCTAGTATCCAAAGGAAATATTTCTTATTTCGTTAATTTTCTCCTTTTTCCCACTTGCTTTATAATTTGGTCCTTAAAATCTGCCACTCTTGAATTTTCCGCTAAAATTATTTGTAAGTCACAAGTTTTTATGCCATTTTTATGTAAATTGTAAATTTAATTGAAATTTTATAACAAGTTTTTTCTGAGTAGCACAAACATGTTTCATTTTCGCATGTAACCAGACCCCTGATGAGCTTTTGTAGCAATATCTGGGTGTTTCGTGCTGTTGTTGTCGTTGTTATTGCCATCCATGTTCGTTAGCATAAAAATGTCGAAAACAAAACATAAAAGACTCGTAAAGCTTCTCATTTTATCGTAATTACCGTAAACACAACACACACTCGTATTAAATATCACTTGTCTAACACGAGTTGCGTGTTTAAGCCAGGGATGAGAAGTTTGAATTATTATAAAAAATATATTAAAGATAGATCCATTATAGTATAAGTACGATAAAACTGGATTTATAAAATCTTAAATTACTTGTAAATGGGGATCCATCTTCGGCAGGTCTTCAAGACCCAGAGGTCTTCTTCATAGAAGACCAGAAGATTTTCTCGATAAAAGACTCATATGAGTCTTTCATTTTTAGGTCTTCCATCTTTGCAAGACCTAGAGAAACTTCTCAAACCTAAGGTGTCCAACGAAGGCAATTCAGAAATATATTACTCCTATAGTTTTCTCAAATTCTTTCACATAATTGCAAATGGTACTAAAGTTGGAGCATTCTAATATTCTTGGTAAAAGCCCTTTAGTTCACATATTCTACGAAAGCATCAAAGAACCTCTTCCAAATTTCAGATTTCCATCTTCTTTCCTTTTCTCAAATACCATTTTTTAGACTTTTTGTACTTTTTGGTAAATATTCTCAAATCCACCTCCATTTATCAAACCTACGTTACAAAAAATGATCCCAATGTCAAATTTTAGATTTCCTTCTCTAGTCCTCTCCGAAATAATTAATTACGGTACGAAATTAGTACTTTTAATAGTTATTTAGAACATATTTGCAAAACCTCCTCGAAATCTCAACCCAATGCCCAATTGCAGATTCAAAAACACTACCCGCTCACCCAACACCAAATTTAGTACTATTTAGTACTTTTCGTATACTTGTAGTACTCATTTTCTAAACTAACTCTTTATTTCAACCCTCGCGGATAGGGATAATAACCAATTACCAATAAATCATATTTCCAGTTGCATTCCTTCACACAGTTATTCCTTCAAGTTAAATTGTACTAAATTTAGTACCACATAGTACAGTTCTTACACCTGGTACACGTTTTTAACACTACCTCCTTATATCAAGCAAATTTTCCAAATTTAATTCTTTTACATTATATCAAGAATTTTGTTCTATCCAATCCCTTAATACCAAATGGTACCAAATTTAGCACTTTTTAGTACTTTTAGTACAGTCACAGTTCGAATTTTTAAATTTTAGAATTGTACATCTGTACGATTACCAAATACAATATTTTCAATTGTAAGTACCTTATATCACGATTTTAGTTCTATCTATCTTAACAACAAGTGGTACCAAATTTGGCACATTTTAGTACAAACATACTTCGAATTTCCAAATTTCAGTATTGTAGCTTTATCCGTTTGCCCAAATACAACGGATTTAATTTTTAGTACCTTTGAGTACTTTTAATACTTCTAGTACACTTATAGTCCAAATTTCGCAATACCCAGCCTTTTCTAACCCCCTATTTACCAACATACCCCCACATGCAAATTTGAAGATTCGAGCTTCAGACGACTCTTTTACAGGATGAGATGAAAAAAATGCAACCAACTTCCAGTGACAGCTCATTATATTTTTTACAAGCGTACAGAAGCATTTTGGTGAGAATTTTCCAGAAAAGTTATTCGTGACGGAGGAATTCAAGCGTGATAGTGTGATTTCTTTATATTTAGCTGGAAAACCACAAGTGGCTATTGTTAGAGCACTCCAGGATCGTTACCGTTACGATGTCAAGGAAGTGGACGGAAAAAAACAGCAACATCAGCAGAAATGGTTCGAAAAGTAAAGAAGCGACATGATCGAAACCCACATCGCAGTGGCCGAAAAGTGGATCGCAATATTTCATTCGGCAAATATTAAAAAATTAACTTGGGGTAAAGCCATTGAAATTCAAAAAAGTGCAAGAACTTATACCGCAACAGAAAGAAAATAGACTCAAAAGAGCTAAAGAGTTGCTTCACTTGGCCAAAAGTGGTGAACTGCCGAATTTGGTATTCTCCGTCTCCGATGACAAAACATTCGCTGCCAAGCAGTTTGTAAACAAACAAAAAGATCGCATTTACTTCCCAAAGAGGTCAGCTGAAAAAGTGACTCTTCGGTTGGCCACCAAAACTCAAGCACCGGCATAACAGCCGACGGTCGCTCTCCGCTCGTATTAATCGACCCTGGCATCAGAATAAATGCCGAATATTATCGTGAAAATATTCTGCAGGGTGTATTAAAGCCTTGGGCACATTCCAACAGGACCCAGCACCATCGCACTCAGCACGCGCCACCCAAGAATGGTTACAAAATGAGGTTCCTCGCTTCATTTCCAGATCACAATGGCCAAGCGCTTCGCCGAGGACGGACCAAGCAAAATTCGGGCAGCGTGTGACGGTTACATTATCCGTTTGAAGGCCATAATTCGTGCCAAAGGTGACATTCGAACAAATCTAAACATATTCTAAAATGTTATACTTAAAAAATAAATGTAAAAATTATGACGTTTGACTTTGTTGCAGTTTTTTTATATCTCACTCTGTATATAGATATTTTATGAAGTATCCTAAGGACAAAGGTATTGCAAACGGAATTACAAAAATCCTTCCATTTAAATATTGCCCTTCTCAGTTCCGAGGTCGAGAATTCCGGCCATGTCATTATTGTTATGAGTTCCCCTTTTATGTCTAATTACTGTCAATATTTTTCCACTGCCATGGCAAAGGCCAAGGCCCAACCACGAACGCAAAGGACCAACGGGGAAATTAAAGAGAAAACCAATCCAAATTACTACTCATTGAGAAAATTGCAAAAGCAACAACAACAACTACTACTACTACTCCAGCGCTAACGACTATTACAATACCATAAAGTATCCTTGTAACGGTGGCCCTCCTTTATTATCCTTGCAGCGTGCACACACACATATTTTCAGTGTCCTTGCATTACATGGCGGTGTGCGTTGCTGCGCTAAGATGCTCTGTAATTAAAATATCTTGTAATGTAAATGTAATTAATTTTTCTTGTTGTTGTTGTAGCTGTAGATGTTGTTGTTGTTGGCTTAAGATGATGCTACAAATAAATAGTGGCAGCGAATGGGAAAACTTCTATAATTAAATGCCAGAAACAAAGTAGGAGGTGAGGAGGAAGGGAAGGGAGTGAGGGAAAGAGTTTTAGCAAAAGATGTGTCTGGCACAAACAACAAGAGTTGTTGTAGTAGAAAAACGAAATAGAGTTGGGAGATGTATGGCTTAACTTCCCCTACCCCTAATCCGCCAACCAACTGATGTGTTGCTTTTGATGTAAACGTTTTTGTGAAAAAGGGATTAGCGTTGGGAAATTTAATAATGACAGACTACAAAACGAAACGAAACGCCTGAAAACATTTTTATTTGAAGTTTATTCCCCTTCCTCCCCCCCTCCCTTCCATCATGTCGTTGTTGTATTGTCTGTAATTGATGTTATCTTGTCTCATATTACATTTTTCGCATCCCATTGCCATTCCCATCACATCCCTTAACAAATAGCCCAAAGGGATTTACGGAATATCAAAGGATATCAATTTTGTGCTTCGTTTTAATACTTACTGCATCATAATGGCACTCTCAATCGAAAACGAATCAGTTGGCAGTCCACATATATTCCAATTACGTATTTCAACGGGTTCACCCAGCACGCTGACCAATTGGAAATCTTGACTACAAACTATACCAAAACTGGCACATTTCTCTGCCCATTTGCGAGTTTGATCGACACGATATTCAATGGTAAAGGGTCCCAAATAGGAGACAACTCCCGAGGAAATTAGCACATCTCCGGTGAGAGTGTTGTAAATGCGCCCCAATTGCTTTGCCGTTTCCGACCATCGTGTACGCTCACCACCCAGACCGGAAATGAGGTCTTGAGCACGTTGTAATTTTTTGGTGCAGGCTTCATGTTCCGCTTGCAGGATGCTGGAGGGAAGGAAGAAAGATATGGAACATTAACATAGCAGATCTTAAGCTGAAAAAAAAATCGTGTAGAAGGTAAGTATAGAACTCCAGGAGATCGAACAAAGACTTCCACAAGCTCTTGCGTGCATGCAGAAGAGCACCAAACATCCAAAAGCTCCTCCAAACATTGGAAACTTCCAGAGGCTTTTGGATGAATAGAATTCTTCTAGAAATTCTTCTGTCAATAGAAGACCCCAAGAAGCTTTTCAATGACTAGAAGACCCCATAAGTTCTTCTATAGATAGAAGTGGTTTTCTTTTCATAGAAGAGTTTCTGAAGGTTTTCTATTTATAGAAGATCTCTTGGGGGTATTTTAGTTATAGAAGAGGTTTTGGAGGTCTTTTAGTTATAGAAGAATTTCTGGAGGTCGTTGTAGTTTTTTCGTATAGGCTTCGTGTTTAGCTTGCAGAATGCTGGAGGGAAGGAAGAAAGATATGGAACATCCAAAAGCTTTTCTATGGAAACTAGACTCTAAAAGCTCCTCCAAACATTGAAAACTTCCAGAGGCTTTTGGATGAATAGAAATCTTCTTAAAAGTTTTTCTGTGAATAGAGGACCCCAAGAAGCTTTTCAATGACTAGAAGACCCCAAAAGTTCTTCTATGGATAGAAGTGGTTTTCTTTTCATAGAAGATTTTCTGAATGTCTTCTTTTAACAAAAAGCCTTTGAGGGTCTATGGAGGTCTTCTATATATATAACAGCTTATGGAGATATTCTATTCATGGAATAGCATCTGAAGGTATTCTATTTATAGAAGAGCTTTTGGGAGCCTTCTATTTATAGAAGAACTTCTGGAGAGCTTCTATTTATAGAAGAGCTTCTGAACTCTTTGTCATTCTGGAGATCTTCTATTTATAGGGGAGCTTTTGAAGGTCTTCTATTTATAGAAGAGCTTCTGAAGGTCTTGGCTATTATCCATAGAAAAGCTTTTATCAATAGAAGAGCTTCTATACATAGAAGAGCTTTCATCCATAGAAGAGCTTCTATCCATAGAAGAGCTTTAATCCATAGAGGTCTAGGAAGTCTTATATTTATAGAGGAGCTTTTGAAAGTCTTTTATTTATAGAGGAGCTTTTGAAGGTCTTCTTTTTAAAGAAGAGCTTCTGGAGGTCTTTTATTTATAGAAAAGTTCCTAAAGGTCTTCTTTTTTACAGAAGAGCTTATGGAGGTCTTTTATTTATAGAAGAGCTACTGGAGCTTTATACAAAAGTTTCTGATGGCATTCTTTTTATAGAAGAGCTTCTGGAGGTCTTCTATCCACAGAGAGCTCGAAAGAATTTTTCATAGGGGAACTTTTGAAGGTCTTCTTTTTAAAGAAGAGCTTCTGGAGGACTTTTATTTATAGAAAAGTTCCTAAAGGTCTTCTTTTTACAGAAAAGCTTATAGAGGTCTTTTATTCATACAAGAACTACTGGAGCTTTATACAAAAGTTTCTATAGACATTATTTTTGTAGAAGAGTTCTGGAGGTATTTTATCCATAGAAGTCTTCTATTCATAAAAGAGCCTCTAAAGGTATTCTATTCATGAAAAAAACTACTGGTCATCTTCTAAAGATATAATATTCATGGAAGAGGTAATGAAGGTTTTGTTGGTTCATAAATAGCTTCCTGACGTCTTCTATACATCGAAGAGGTCGCCTATACATGGGAGATCTTTTGGAAATCTTCTAGAGGTCTTCTATTCATGGAAGAGTTTCTAGAGATCTTTTGAATGTCTACTATTCATGCAAGTGCTTATGGTGGTTTTTCTATTTATAAAATTGGCTTCTAGATTTTTTCTATTGATATACGTTTCCAGTTTCCAGAGGCCTTCCATGCATCGAAGAGGTCGTCTATACATGGAAGATCTTTTGGAAATCTTCTAAACGTAGAAAAACTTCTGGAGGTTCTCCAAACCTAAAAGAGAGCATAGAAAAACTTTTGGATATATTCTACACCTGTAAGATCCCCCTATAAGATCTTTTATATATTAAAAAAAGCTTTTGGAGGTATTTCACACAAAGAGCTCTCAGGGGTATTCTAAGCTCAGAAAAAGCTCCTGGGGGTCTGTTATACTTAGAAGTCTTTGAGAAGTAATTCTATGTTGTGAAAACCTTTTGTAGGTCTTTTATACACAGAGGACACTTTCTATACACAGACGAGCTTTTGCAGAGGACACTTTCCATACGTAGACCAGCTTTTGCATGTATTTGACGACAGAAGTATTATATACATAATAGAGCTTTTATAGATCTTATGTACATGGAAACGGTTTTGGAGGTAATCTACACCATGAAGATCTTCTATAAGTCATTTATACATAAAAAAGTTACACATAAAGCTCTTAAAGATATAATAAGCCTAGAAAAATCTCCTCGGAGTCTTTTATACTTAGAAGTCCTTGAGAAGTAATTCGGTAGGGCCTTCTGTAGGTTTTTATACAAAGAAAAATTTTTACATACAAGGAAGAGCTTTTGGAGGTTTTCGGTACTTAGAAGAGCTTCTGCAGACCGAGTGAAGATATGACTCTTTTTCGGATTTTCCAAACATAGAAGAACCTCTGGAGATATTGGAAAATGTGTACCTCTAGGTATATCTTTTAGAACTTGTAAAGAGTTTGATTTTATGGAAAAAATGTAGGGGTTTTATTTCTAAAAGACCTTCCATAGTTCTTGTCGGACCGTCGGAAGCCAGAAGTCTTTCTGGATGTCCTGGAAAAGTTCTACCTCTAGGTATCTCTTTTAGAACTGTTGAAGAGCTTTGGGAGTTTCATTTCTTAAAAACCTTCCATAGTTCTTGTCGGAATTGTATACCGAATGCCTTTCGTTATTCCATAGAAGTTCTTTTTTCTTGGGTTTCAATTTTCGACTCACCCATATTCCTTCATTTGTTTGTCCAAAACCTTTTGAATAGCTGCCAAGTTCGCCTCGACTCGAGCTAGTTGGGCCAGTTTCTCGTTCAGTGTTTTTTGGGCTGCCTGTAAAAGGAAAATTTAAGGTTTTAAATTTAATCAAACAATTTAATCAATTCAATCAATTGAAACAAATTAATCAATTCAATCAATTCATTCAATTCATACAATTCAATTGACTATGATGAAATATGACATGATTGTTTATGATTTTGGTCTCCATAGGACATTCACCTAAGTATAATTTAATAGTAGTTTCCCATCACAAACTTACATTATAGGTAGCTTCCGCCTCGGCCAGGGCAATTTTCTTGGGCGCCACAATCTTGGCCACCACATCATATTTGGTCAAGGCAATAACCCATTTACACAGACCCTCACAGGCTGTAGACGCCGTTTTAATTTTCTCCGGATCAAAAGCCTCATTCGTCAAGACTCTCTCCTGCAGCTTCTTTATCACAGCCGGTGGTATATTATCCTTGTCGAAATTCAATAAACTATCCAGAAATTTAATATCGCTCAAAACCTTCTTCGAGGGACCCCAATAGTCTTCAATCATGCCCACACCACTGGGATTGGCAATACGTTCCGGTTTAACCTCCTTCAAAATGCAAACAGCTTCCATGACAATACGCACTCCCACCGGAGGACTTTTCATGGTCTTGACGACGGCAATATCAGCTGTTGTTAAGGTATTCAAGGCAGCCATGGCCTCATTAAGTATGGGTAAAGCTTCACCCAACTTAGCATCACATTCATCCTTAATGGCCTGGGCCAATTGGGCTTGCTCCGCAGCCATTGCTTCGTCACGCTTGACAATTTCACGTTGCTCCTCGGCAGCTTTACTATCCTCTGTGACTTTGGCAACTTGTATGGCCACCGTTTCGGCAGCTGCTTTGATTTTTGGCTCCAAGGCCTCCAGCTGCTCCTGCATAACACCCACCTGTTGGGCGGCGATGTCCAGTTGGGATATGCCGGTTAGATAGCGATTTTTGTTGAGCATGACGGACCTATAAAAAACGAAAATTATTATCCTTTTTCTTTGATTAGATTAACCTGCCCTTACGCCCTCTTCTTGTTCAGCAATGTCTTAAAAGTCTGTATCAATTCCAAATATGAGGTGGGGGTCACATAGTTATGACGTTTCAGTCTCAAATAGAAGGCCTCCGATAAGGCCTGGGTAGATGTATGGAATTCCATGCACATATCTATGGCTGCCCGCCTTTCCAAATCGGTTAGATCCTCCTGGGCCAAGAAGCGGGTCGACACTGCCAGCAATGCATCCTCTGGCCACGCCTGGAACCAATCAATGGTACAGCAATTCACAATGGAGGGGAACTTTCGTATCCTTATACGCAAAGCCTCACCAATAGGCGACATGGCAAGGACCACATGCAGCTGATCCTTACAGGTCTAAAGGATTGTCAAAAATTTGTAGAGAATGAAAACTCATTTGGTGTTCGGGAACATACCGTGACAAAGAAATTAAACAGGGCCACGGGACTGCCATCGGTTTGCACAGCCTTGTCACGTTGCTTGTCAATCTGGGCCATTTTCTCCACCACCTCCATTTTCTCCTCATTGCTAAACAGATTTGGAACTTCACCAGAATTCAATAAATTGTTTATATCTTCCAAAAAGGATTCATCTTTGATCTGAGGTAAATAAATTGGGTTATTCAAGGAGTCAAGGATAACTAAAGGACAGTTGGGCTTTCTCCCAAACAAAAATCTCCGAAAGCTATGATTTTTTAAAGAATTTTTCCAAAGGACCATCAAGGCTATAAACGTGATTTTTTTAAGATTTTTTCCAAAGGAACATCAAGGCTATAAACGTGGATTTTTTTAAGAATTTTTCCAAAGGACCATCAAGGCTATAAACGTAGATTTTTTAAAGAATTTTTCTAAAGGACCATCAAGGCTATAAACGTGGATTTTTTTTAAGAATTTTTCAAAAGGACCATCAAGGCTATAAACGTGGACTTTTTAAAGAATTTTTCAAAAGAACCATCAAGGCTATAAACGTGGATTTTTTAAAGAATTTTTCAAAAGGACCATCAAGGCTATAAACGTGGATTTTTTAAAGAATTTTTCAAAAGAACCATCAAGGCTATAAACGTGGATTTTTTAAAGAATTTTTCAAAAGAACCATCAAGGCTGTAAACGTGGATTTTTTAAAGAATTTTTCAAAAGGACCATCAAGGCTATAAACGTGGATTTTTTAAAGAATTTTTCAAAAGGACCATCAAGGCTATAAACGTGGATTTTTTAAAGAATTTTTCAAAAGGACCATCAAGGCTATAAACGTGGATTTTTTAAAGAATTTTTCAAAAGAACCATCAAGGCTATAAACGTGGATTTTTTAAAGAATTTTTCAAAAGGACCATCAAGGCTATAAACATGGATTTTTTAAAGAATTTTTCAAAAGGACCATCAAGGCTATAAACGTGGATTTTTTAAAGAATTTTTCAAAAGGACCATCAAGGCTATAAACATGGATTTTTTAAAGAATTTTTCAAAAGGACCATCAAGGCTATAAACGTGGATTTTTTAAAGAATTTTTCAAAAGGACCATCAAGGCTATAAACGTGGTTTTTTTTGAAAGAATTTTTCCAAAGGACCATCAAGGCTATAAACGTGGATTTTTTAAAGAATTTTTCCAAAGGACCATCAAGGCTATAAACGTGGATTTTTTAAAGAATTTTTCCAAAGGACCATCAAGGCTATAAACGTGGATTTTTTAAAGAATTTTTCCAAAGGACCATCAAGGCTATAAACGTGGATTTTTTAAAGAATTTTTCCAAAGGACCATCAAGGCTATAAACGTGGATTTTTTAAAGAATTTTTCCAAAGGACCATCAAGGCTATAAACGTGGATTTTTTAAAGAATTTTTCCAAAGGACCATCAAGGCTATAAACGTGGATTTTTTAAAGAATTTTTCCAAAGGACCATCTGATCAAGAAACTTGGATTTTTAAAGAATTTTTGATTCAAGATTACTTTTAACCTTCCTTGATACCTTACCTGCACATCTGTGAACAAGAACACCCCATGCATTTCCGACGAACTGATCTTACGCAAGATACCCTTGATATCCTCATGCCATTCATTTGGTCCATATGATCGAGATATTTCCACTTGAAATAATTCATAGTCACATATATGCGAAGCCAGACGAGTTAAGCTCTGACGTCCGGAGCCACCGACACCGATCAGTAGAGCATGACTACGTGGCTGCTTTATAATGCGACAGATTCTCGATAAATGTTCCACGGCAAAGCGGAACAATACCAAATTCATGGGTTTCTTGGACATGTTGTTGTATTCCACCAGGTAAGATTCGACGACATTGCGTAGCTCCTCCAAATCCTGTACTTCGATGTAGTTTTTCGTATCAGCCTTGGGATTGGTAAAATCACAAAATATCAAATTACGAAAATCGGCTTCGCTTAGCTTTTCTCCCTTCTGGACGAATCGTTCGAAAAGTTCTTCGGGTTCAATGGCAAAACTGGAACGCATTTGTTCACAGAGGGCATTGAAAAGCCAGCTGCGATCCGAATCTTCAACCAGGCGATCGCCATAGACCCGAAAAACTTCATGGACCCAGAGGCGGCGCATGGAGTTCAGATCTTCCGTGGCTTCGGGTACCGAAAGTAAAACACCTTGGATGACGCGAGAAAAGTCACGCAAATTGAAGAGATAATGGGACTTGGCTGGCGTGGGCAGCAGATTCATTTTGGCCTTGTTGTAAATTGTCAAGGTGGCATTGACAATCTCCTCAATACAGGGATCGAATTCTTTGGAGAAGCCTCTGCAAAAAAAAAATTATTTAATATTTCAATTTCCAAAAAAAGTTAGGACCTCTACCTTGTATCCAAATGCCATAGAATTATTTTACTGAAAATCGTCTTCAAAATATCATCATTGAACTCATCAATGGCCACCACATTGAAATGCCGCTGGAAGCGTGGTGTAATTGTATTTCCCGTTGATGGCGGACCCATGGCACAAATCATTTGTATGTCGATCAATTTTAAAGGTACTATCGCTTTCCTATCATACCACATCCAGTGATCCATCATCATTCGCAGCAACTCAATTGCAGGTTGGGCGCCATAATTCTCTTTCAAAGGCATCGACACATCATCGACAAAAATGACAAAGCGCTTGTTCAGCGGAGGCCCATAGACACCTTTACGTCTCTTATCCAACTTGGACATGATTATATCCTGGGTCTGATTGGCCGAAGTCTGGGCCGAGAAATTGATCAGCAATGGCTTGTAGGTCATCAAATCCATTTTCTTCAACATATAATCGATGATATAACAACTCTTTCCCGTTCCCGTGGGACCCACAAACAACACCGGTTTTCCATGCCTGACCAGTAAATCCAGCACGGCAGTACTTCTCACATTCTCATTGGTCACAATGATAATTTGATTTACCGGTATGTCACGACTTATGGCCGGCGCTGCTGCCACATCATCCTGCCATGGTTTCCACTTACCCTTACCTTCCTTTATGAAGCGATAATCAAACACCGAACCCTGTTTGGGTATGGGAAAAATAAAAGGCTTCGGCAAGGCGGGAACATACAACTCCTCCGGTATGCCAAAGGACTCATACAAATTCTCGGGGAAATTCTTTTCCATGAGGCCACGGAAAACTAAATTAAATTTCTCTCGGCTATTCGAATCCAGTGATGCTCCAATGGACCAGATACAGGAAAATAAAAACACACCCTCTATCTGAGCCCTCATATCCAAATCACTGATATTTTGTACATATTTTTCATCCTTAAAATCATCCAGGAAGCAGTCGAACAAATTCATCAAGGCCACCATGAGATTGGCGTCCGATGTGGGAGCAATCTCAAACAGTGAAGCCTTCCTCACAATATACAACAATATGGGACAGAATCGCTTTATCAACGCCGTCACCAATTGCTTGGCCACGGCATGAAAACTGGCGGGCAAACGATTTTTCCACGAAGTCACCAAAGGTTCCCAACCCAAAGATGCCGGCTCCATATAAATCATACCACAACGTGACACTGTGGCCGGTGAGGCCACCTCCAAATCCATGGGTTCAAATATAAGATTTGTCGTCGGCGACAATTGTATAATTTCTCCCGACATCAGACACAACTTCTTGTTATCATCCAGCACGGTATTCATATTTTCAATCCATATGGCATCGACTGGACCATCAAATATTAGCCACTTGCGATCCGGTGTCTCTGAAACGGCAAATTGCCGATAACTCACCGCCAGCACACCATCACTCCATTCGTGGGAAACGGCATCGAATTGCCCGTACAGCTGACCCATGGTAATGGCCTTGGGGTTGATGATGGTGTAGATGGCACGATTTTCACCGGCGTTCTGTAAGAAAGGAGGGGATTGGATTAGGAGGTATGGCACTAAGGGAAAAAACATTTTATCTACAACATCTCATTTTATATATGGCATCTAAATGACAAATATACATTATCCTAATGGCATGGATATATTTTCTTCGTCAAATAAAAATCGTAGGAATATTCACAAGGAAACTACATAGGAAAGGTGCATTTTGCAGAGTATCTACGCAACGTAGATACATAAAATTTGTCATTTTAACGACGTAGATACTTTCAGTATGACGTAGATACCCTAAGTAAGCTATTTCAATAACGTAGATACATTATCTACCACATTTAAATGACGTATGCAATATTTATATAACATAGATTTATTTTCTTATAGCAGTTCAGCGGCGCAGATACATTTTGTACATCATGTTAGTACATCATCTACAACATTTTCATACATTATACAATGACTTAGATACGCCATCTATGCCAGCTTAATGACGTAGATACATTTTAACCGCCAATTCAATAACATAGATAAATTATCTACACCTCAAAGTAGCGTAGATACATACTTTCGGACATTTTTATAGCGTAGATACACTATATATACCGTTTAAAGGATGTAGATACATTATTTAATGGCGTAGATACACCTTCAATGCCAGTTTAATGACATAGATACATTTTCAATATAGTTTTAATAACGTAGATACTTTATATACGCCATTTCATTTTAATAGAGTAGATACAATATCTACACCATTTGAATGACGTTAATGCACCAAATATATCAGCTTGATTACGTAGATACATTTTTAACACTATTAAAATAACGTAGATGCATTTTAATTTTATTTTAATAATGTAGATACGTTATCTACACAATTTCATAAGAGTAGATACATATTTCATGTTACTTTCATGGCGTAGATACACTATATACTCCATTTTAATGGCGTAGATACACTATCTACACCATTCTAACGGCGTAGATACATTATCTACACCATTGTATGGGCGCAGATACATTTTGAAAATAATTTTAATGACATAGATACATTTCCTATACAATTTCGATGGCGTAGATACATTTCCTATACCATTTCCATAGCGTAGATACATATTTTATGCCACTGTCATGGCGCAGATACATTATCAAATGACGTAGATACAACTTCTATGGCATTTTAAGGACGTAGAACAAAATTTCCAATAACGTAGATACATTAGCTGCACTATTCATTAACCTAGATACAATATCTACTCCATTTTAAGGACGTAGATACATTACCTTTACCATTTAAATAGCGTAGATACTTATGTTACGTCACTGTCATGGCGTAGATACACTTTTCAAATCTCGCAGATACACTATCTATTGAATTTATGGACGTAGATACATTTTGAAAATGATCTTACTGACGTAGATACATGACCTATACCATTTCTATAGAGCAGATACACATTTTATGTCGCTGTCTTGGCATAGATACACTTTCTACATAGTTTTAATGGTGTAGAAACATTTTTAAATGCCGTAGATACAACTCTTCTCAAGGCCATAAATCCCCTCTACACTCACCCTCTTCTCCATATTCTCCAGTGTTTCAGCCAAAATCCTATAACACGTTGTCTTGCCACCGAACGGCAGTCCGACCAACATCAAACCATGTCGTACAACAATCATCTCATACAACTGTTGGACCTTCTCCAAAAAGAAATCGGTGCATTGCTTATTATTTCTCTCGCAAGCCTCACGACAGCATTCGTTGAAGATGACATAGTCGGCTTCGGGTAGGACAGTACCAGGAAACAGATCCGATGTTATTCCCTGGAACAGGGGGACATCTTGGTTCAGGAATTTCGGTAAATTTACATCCTTAATTGAACGCAACACCAGGATATCTTCATTTTCATCGCGATAACGTAATTTCAAGGCCCCAGCTGCCTTGAGGACTGACTTCACAGCTCGCATGCCATAATCGTAATGACATTGGGTGCTGAGCTGTTCGGAACACAAACGATAGGTGGCCACGATTTTGACAGATAAAGGTTTGGCTGTCAGGAAGCCATAGGAATATAACTCAATTTCCGAAATCAAGGCATAGTCAGGCACCATCATGGCCACAGAGCGGAAGAGGGCCTAGAAAGGAGATTTAATTTCTTAATTTCCATTAAAAAGAAAATTGTCCTCTACTCACCTTCAAATTATCCGGCAATTCCGATCGCCCCGCATAGCCAGGATTCATGGTAATAAACACCGCACACGTGGGATCCAATGTCAATGTGGTACCCTCAAACACCAGTGTTGGACTACCGGAATTAATACCCCTTTGTATGGTCAAAATTTGTTGAGCCACCACTGATAGCACCTCCAAATCAATGCGATTGAATTCATCAAAACATGACCAGGCTCCGCACGAAGCTAAACCCTTGAAGAATTTCCCCAAACCGATATAATCCAGACCATCGGAACAATTGAACACAACACATTGTTTGGCCACAGCTTTGGCCAAATCTTTGGTGGTCTCTGTTTTACCCGTACCCGCAGGTCCTTCAGGGGCACCACCCAAATGTAAATGTAAGGCACTGAAGAGGGTGCGATAACAACGATCTGTTAGAGGGGTTACCACCAACCGGGTGGTATTTCCCAAATATTCATAGCCATATTTTAGAGAGCAATTGATCATGCGGGTATCCAAATTGTTGTCCTCCCAATAGTAACGAAGCTGTGTGACATGATATTAGATGGGTTCGAAAATGCAAAGTTCTTTTAGGGGAAAGTTCTCACCTGACACAACCACTGAAAATCATTGAGTTCGGATACTTTCTTCTCCACAATCTCGGCCAAGACATCACGGGCATGTACATCCAACACCACCAAGGCTCCCAATGTAATGCGATTCTGGGCACTCAAATCACCGCGTACCAAGTCCACGATGCGATTGATCTGAAAAAAGAAGCGAAGGCGACTTGAGAATTATTTATAGAAAAACTCAGATTTTGGTCTGAAGTCCTTAAGAAAATCGTCATTTTGGGTCTGAAAGTCCTTAAAAAGTATTTAAAAACAGGATTTTGAAACTCCTTAAAAATAATATTTTAAAAAATCCACGTTGATTGGCCTAAAAATCCTTGCAAAATCATTTAAAAATCCACGTTTATTGTCCTAAAACCCTTGAAAATTATTTTTTAAAAATTATCTTTTATTGGCCTGAAAGACCTTGAAAATTATTTTTAAAAAATGTCCTTGAAAATATTAAAAACAAAACTTTTTTTACCTGAAAGTCTTTGAAAAATATTTTTAAAAAATGTCCTTAAAAATATCCCAAAAGTTAATCATGTTTGCCTGAATGTCCTTGAAAATATTCTTGGAAAATGTCCTTTCTTAAAAATCCCCGTTTATAGGGGGATTTTGAAAATATGAAAATTAAAAAATTTCCTTGAGAAAATCTAAAAAAAAATCTGTATTTCAAAATAACATAACCTTATCGGCCTTAAAGTTCTTTAAAAATTCCCTTGAATAATAATTTTAAACATCTTCTTTTATTGCCGGAAAAGTCCTGGAAAATATTCTTGAAATATGTCCTTGAACAGATTCTAAACTAATTCTTGCGCGTTAGCCTGAGTGTGCTTGAAAATATTCTAAAAACATCATCTTTATTGGCCTGAAAGACCTTGAAAATATTCCTGGAAAAAATTTCTGTTAATTGTCCTGAATGCCCTTGAAAAATATTCTAAATATTCTTGAAAAAATTCCAAGTTTAATAGTCTAAATGTTCTTAAAAAAATTTTATCGCTGAGAGTTCTTCCAAAACATTTTTCAAAATTTCACATTTGTATCGCCCTCCAAAAATGATCTCAAAAAACACACGTTGAAAGCCTTGCGTCCTTCCAAAAATATCCTTCAAAAACCACGTTTATTATATAATACTTCCAAATATAATCTGAAAAAGTCAACGTTCTTCTGATATTGAAAAATCAACGTTTGTGTCCTTGATACTCCTTCGAAAAATATTCATAAAAAAATCCAAAGCCCATCCAAAATTTCCACCTTTAAAGCCTTAAGAGTCCTCCTCATATCCAAGATTGAAGCCTTGAAAACTATATAAAAAAACATTCTTGAAAAAATTGGAAGTCTTTTAAAACTCACGATTATATTCTTTGAAGTCTTTCCAAAAATATTTTTTAAAATCGCGTTTTTGTCCTTCAGAGTCCTTCCAAAAATATTCATAGAAAAATCCACTTTTATACCCTTCAGAGTCTTTCCAAAAATATTCTTAAAAATCTACGTTTGTGTCCTTCAGAAAGCTTCCAAAAATATTCATAAAAAATTCAGCTTTATATCCTTCAAAGTCCTTCTAAAAATATTCATAAAAATGCGCGTTTATATCCTTCAGAGTCCTTCTATAACTATTCATAAAAAAGCACATTTATATCCTTCAGCGTCCTTCCAAAAATATTATTAAAAACCAAATTGATATCCTTTAGAATCCTTCCAAAAATATTCTTGAAAACCGACGTTTGCAGTCTTCAGAAACTTGTACATAATTTATGAAATAAATTCACGTTTATATCCTTCAGAATCCTTAAAAATCTACGTTAATATCATTCAGAAATCTTCCAAAAATATTCACAAAAAAGTTATGTTTATATGCTTCAGAATCCTTCCGAAAATATTCTCAAAAATCTACGTTTGTATACTCCACAGTCCTTCCCAAAAATATTCATAAAAAATTCTCGATTATATCCTTCAGAGTCTTTCTAAAAAAATCACCATTATATCCTTTAGAGTCCTTCCAAAAATATTCTTAGAAATCTACGTTTGTACCCTCCTGAAACCTTTTGAATATTTTCATAAAAACCTTCCAAAAATTTTCATAAAAAAATCAAATTTATATCTTTTAGAGTATTTCCAAAAACATTCATAAAAATCCATGACTATATTCTTCAGAGTCCTTCCGATAACAATAACAATTCACCATGGCTGTCCTTCCAAAAATATTCTACATAACTAAGCGTTTCTATCGTTGCTAGTAATATTCTTTAAAAATACTCTATCCTTCCAAAAAAATTCTTTAAAAATCCACGTTAGTATCCCTGAAAATCCCTCCAAAAGTATTCTTAAAAAACAATGTTCGTACCCTTCAGAGTCGTTCCAAAAATATTCATAAAAGAGCTGCATTTGTTTTTTTCAGAGTCCCTCAAAAAGTATTCATTAAAAAACCACGTTTGATTCCCTAATAGTTTGGCTCCTTGAAAGTTTGTATCCTTAAAGGTCCTTCCAAAAACCCAAATTTGAAGTCTTGGTAGTTTTTTGAAAGAATACACGATTGAAGCCTTTATCGTCCTTCAAAAATATCCATTAAAAAAGTTCGCGTTGTATCCTTTGAAATCATTCCAAAAATATATACAATACAAGCACGTCTGCATTCCTAAGATACTAAGTCGAAAATCTGTTAGTCCTTGAAAAATTATAATATAAATACATGTTTCCAGCCTTGATGGTCCTTTCAAATAAATTCTTAAAAATCCTCGTTTGTTGCGTTGATGATCCTCCAAAAAATACCCTTCATAATTCACATTGACATCCTTGATAGTATTTCCAAGCAATTCACATATTTAGCCTAAATAGTTCCTTCAAAAATATCCTTGAAAAATATATATTTATGTCGTTAATAGTCCTACAAAAATCCATGCCTGTAACCCCGATGTTCACTTTAAAAATATCCTTAGGAATTCACGTTTTCATCCTTAATAATCCTCCCAAGATATCCACGTTTATAGCTCTTCCAGAAATATCTCTAAAGACAAGTTTATATCCTTGATAATCCTTCGAAAATATCCACATTTACATGCTTGATGTAACTTCCAAAAATATTTCTAAGAAACCACACACGTACAATTCCCAAAGACGATACTAATTTCCCCGCCTGTTTCCCTCTCTCCCCCTTCTCTCTCTCTCTCATCACACTCACCTGCGTTATATTTGTTTCCAAATATTTTTCCAAATTTCCACACGGATCGTCGGACAAAAAACACTCCGTTATATTCAGGGTCCAATAGGTCAGCGATATCGACTGCACACACTGACCCGGCCAAATGAGTACCCATTCATGCCGAACGCTATTCGGATAGCTATAAAACGCCTCACTCATTTTCTTGTGAATACTTTTCTTCATATACAACTCCAATTCCAAAAGCCATTTCTCCACTTGGCCGCGAGCCTTTGCCGTCGATATGACGTCCACCAATTCCACTTCCTCGCGTTCGGATGAACGCATTATCGTAACTTCCAATTCTTCGGTAAATTTCAAAGTAGCAATACCCTCAAAACATTTCTTAAGATGCGGTTGAACTCGCGTAGGGTCTTTAGTTTCCGAAAGGATTTCCAACAGCTCATCATTGGACAAAAAGAAGAAACGTGGAAAATACAAACGTTTCTTTTCCAAATAAGCATTGAGACCTTTTTGTATGATCTCCAGCAGGTTGAAGGCCTTTTTCAGTTTCTCGGACATTTTATCGATTTCCACCACGGCCATTACACGACAATCGGCATTGACTTGTTTCATTAGCTCTTTCCAGATCTGAAATTGGGAGGCATATAAGAGATTTTTTCATTAGGATGGAATTGTTTTATTTCTTACCTTATCCACTGCACTAAAACGCCTACCCTCTTCGGGCATTTGCTGTTGAATATCGGGACTTGAGAATATCGGCTCCAAATACATCCATGTAGCTTGAACCCGCAACCAGTCATCTAATATGTCTTGCAGAAGAATTAACTTGGCTTCCCATTTCCTGGAAGAAATTTCAATAAAACATGTGAAATAGGTTATGGATCCATTTCCAATTATACGGAATGTCAATCTGATGAAATTATCGGAATAATATAGAAATAAGTTAATAAGAATCTCTCTGCAATATTACAAGAAAATCGAACATTTATATCCAATATTCATCTCAGTTTCCTGGTAATGGGGGTTACAGGGTGAAATAAAAAAAATGGCAACCAATTTCAGACTGCTATCATGTCTATGTCACTCGCCCGATTGCTTTTAAAATTATTTCAGTGATAGGTCAATATATTGTTTATAAGCTAAAAAAAGCGTTTTGGTGAGAATTTTCCAGAAAAAAAGTTATTCGTGATGAAATTTAAGCGTGTTAGGGAGATTTCTTTATATTTGGCTGGAAACCACAAGGGGCCATCGTTAGAGCACCCCAGCATTTAAATGTAAATAAATCCATCGCTCGTTACCGTTACCGTGATACTGGTAGCGTAGCCCGACGTCAAGGAAGTGGACGAAAGAAAACAGCAACATCAGCAGAAATGGTTCGAAAAGTAAAGAAGCGACTTGATCGAAAACCCCGTCGCAGGGGCCGAAAAATGGCTCGTGAGCTGAATATATCACAATATTCCAATCGGCAAATATTGAAAAATGAGCTCGGGGTAAATTCATTGAAATTCCAAAAAGTGCAAGAACTAACACCGCAACAGAAAGAAAATAGACTCAAAAGAGTTGCTTTGCTTTGCCGAAGGTGGTGAACTGCCGAATTTGGTTTTCTACGTCTCCGATAAGAAAACATTTGTTGTCTAGCAGTTTGTAAACAAACAAAATGGTCATGTTTACTTGCCAAAGAGGTCAGCTGAAAATGTACACCTTCATTGGCAACCAGAACTCAAGCGCCGGCCATGGTGATTGTGTGGGCCGCCATAACAGCCGATGGTCGCTCTCCGCTCGTATTTATCGACCGTGGCATCAGAATAAATGCCGAATATAATCGCGAAAATATTCTGGAGGGTGTATTAAAGCCTTGGGCACGCAAACATTTTGGCCGCAGACCTTGGACATTCCAACAGGACTCAGCACCATCGCACTCAGCACGCGCCACCCAAGAATGGTTACAAGATGAGGTTTCTCGCTTCATTTCCAGCGCAAAATGGCCACCAAAACCTCCGGATACCAATCCGTTGGACTATTGTGTCTGGAGTATTTTGGAAAGCAAGGTTGGCACTAACGTACCAAAATGTCGATCTCCTCAAGCAAGCGCTTCGCCGGAAATGGGCCAAAATACCGCAGAGCAACATTCGGGCAGCGAGTGACGGTTTCATTGACCGTTAGAAGGCCATAATTCGTGCCATAGGTGGCCAATTCGAACAAATCTAAACTTATTCTAAAATTTGATGCTATTTCCGACATTTTTGCTTTCATTCAATAAAATTTAAAAATTATGGCGTTTGACTTTGTTACAGTTTTTTATCTCACCCTGTATATATCCAATTTATGGGAAATAAAAAATTCCATATTCATCTCAGGTTTCTGGTTGAGAAAAATATTTAGATATGGCAAGTTGTCAAAAAAATAGCAAGTTTCGAAAGTTATGACAGATAAAAGTATTGAAAATTGTGGCCCTCTGTGGGTGAGGGTGAACTGAGGGAAATATTATTGCAATGTTGGAGCCGAATCGGATTATTGCTTGTTTTTCTGTGCAGAAAATATATATATTTTTTTTTTTTTTGAAAATTCCGACCTTTTGTGGGGGAGATACCAGAAGGAGTGGACCAATGTATTCTATCTTAACCCCAAACCTTGGGTTTATAAAATTATTGGGATGTGTGAAATTTGAAGACAATCGGACTCTTACATCACATTTTATAAGAGTTGTAATTATTCAAAATTTTGGCCCTTTGTGGGTGAGGTACTGGATGGAGTGAACCGATTTTATCCATTTTCGCACCTGACGTAGCGCTGATGCAAATATTAGAATTTGCAAAGTTGGATCAAAATCGGATTATCCTTTCTCTTTCTGTGCAGTAAATTATTTTCTTTGAAAATGTTGACTTTTTGTGTGGGAGGTACCAGAAGGAGTGGTCCGATATTGCCCATCCCCGAACTCGATTTAAGTTTGCCAATAATGTTACGATGTACCAAGTTTGGATAAAATCGGCGGGAGATATCGTGCTTACCAGCCAGACAGACAGACGGACGGACATCGCTAGATCGACTCCAAATGTCCTGAAATGAATTTGGTCCAAAGGGACCTAGGGTTTAAAACCGTAATTTCGACTAGGCACGTTTTTGCCGTATCAAATGATATATACCCCTTCTAGCCTGAGGGCCGAGGGTATCAAATTGGCCCCTACCATATCTAAATCCTAAAAACCAACTGTGACCTCAATATCAAATTTCAGAATTGGAGCCCTATCCACTCACTCAACGGAAAATTGGGTACAATTTAGTACTTTTCGAACAATCCTAGTACGCATTCCCATATCCACCTGCTTCTCTCAAAACTATATACCAACATCGGCTCTTTCCTAAGACCAAATTAAAATTTATTAGCATTATTTCATACGGTTATTCTACACAGGTTCAAAATCACCTCCATCTCTCCACCCTAGGCACCAACAGTGGCCACGATACAAAATTTCAGAATTCCACCTCTATTCACATTATCCAATACCAAAATAGTACTATTTTGTACTTTTCGCACAATTATGGTACACATTTCCAAAACCACCTCCATATCTTAACCTCAAACAGAAAAATTGAGGTCACTGTTTCAAATATTGAAAGGAATGAAGCAAGGATAGGGAACCTGGCGCCCAATTGTTTCAATTGCAAATATAACTCATATACAAACTAGATTATGAGATCTAAAAATCTGGACAGTACAAAGAGAACCATAATCTTCTTGATAACTAGACACCTCCTGAAAATTTAAACAATTCCGGTTAATAATGTCGCAAAAACTCAGGGAATATATAAGAAAACCTCTTCAGAATGCCCTTAAATTTTAATGTTTAATGTAAAATGGGGGCTATACGAAGACATTGTCATAGACGGGTACCGATTCTGAACTTCAAATACGAAATTTGAAACAATTCCGGTTAATAGTGTCGCTAAGATCGTCTAAATACCGAATATCGCCAAGTTTCTTTATATGGAAGAAGTGGATCAACATGGCCCATTAACGAAATATTTTCTTTATGGAATTCGAGTATTTTGCCCTAGAACTTAGGGAATATATGAGATAACCTCTTCAGAATTCCCTTAAATTTTAATGTTTAATGTAATATGGAGCTATACGAAGGCATTGTCATAGCCGGGTACCAATTCCACACTTCAAATACGAAATTTGAAATGATTCCGGTTAATAGTGTCGCTAATATCATCTAAAGACCGAATATCGCCAAGTTTCTTTATATGGGAGCTATACGAAGAAGTGGGTCAATATGGCCCATTTACGAAATTTTTCGATATCGAATGCGAGTACTTGGCCCTAGAACTCAGAGAATATATGAGAAACCCTCTTCAGAATTCCCTTGAATTTCAATGTTTAATGTAATATGGAGGCTATACGAAGACATTGTCATAGGCGGGTACCGATTCCGAACTTCAAATACGACATTTGAAAGAATTCGGTTAATAATGTCGCTAAATACCGAATATCGCCAAATTTCTTTATATGGAGGCTATACGAAGACGTGGATCAACATGGGCCATTTACGAAATTTTTTCGTTATCGAATGCGAGCATTTTGCCCTAGACCTCAGGGAATATACGAGAAAACCTCTTCAGAATTCCCTTAAATTTCAATATTTATTGTAATATGGGGGCTATACGAAGACATTGTCATAGTCGGATACCGATTCGGAACTTCAAACAAAAAAATTTCCGGTTAATAATGTCGCTAATATCATCTAAATACCGAATATCGCCAAGTTTCTTTATGTGGGAGCTATACGAAGAAGTGGTTCAACATGGCCCATTTACGAAATTTTGTCATTATCGAATGCGAGTATTTTGCCCTAGACCTCAGGGAATATAAGGGAAGCCTCTTCAGAATTCCCTTAAATTTAAATGTTCAATTTAAATTGCTACTTACAATATATCCTTTTCGAAGGGTTTGATATACGGCGAACTCTTCATTGTCTGGGTCTTGATAATTTGATCATCAAGCAGAACTTGAATATCATCAATGGCGGATAGTTTATAGGTGCCAGTATCTCTGCAAAAGATTTCAAGTATAAATAGTTATTTAAATTTGAAACCCCCATTTCCCCCCTTACCTATATGGCGACACCGAAAACGATATATCCTCCCACTCGGAGACCATTTTTGCCATGGCTCTTTCCAAATTATTTTCTTTGGTGGCACTTTCGGAAATCGTTTCAAATTTCGGTACATAATCCTCTAGGCTATATTCAATGATGCGGGCCAGCGTCAATTCAGGCGAGACCTTGATGGGGAAACCAATTATCTCCGAGACCAATTCCCAGTGCCGTGTTTTCATGCCCGGATTACCTAAGGTGGAAATTATGGGCATATGCTCACGGAAGGCCTCAATTTGTTCTTTGATCTGCAAATTAAGAAAATATTTTAGATTTCAAAAATTACTACGAGGTATAACCTACATCCTTTATCAATGTCATGGTGGTCGGGTGATCACCCATCTGCTTCTCCAGCTTTTGAATAATACGATACATATTCGCCACCTCCGTTTCAATTTCATCCGGATCAAATGCCCCCACTTGGGCATTCATCCACAAATCGTATTTATCCATAAATTCCTGACCCGCATCAAAAAGAGTCTTATACGGCTTTAGCTGGTCATGGGCCTTTTTACGTATGAAATACTGGGAAAGATCCCAGCCATACGAAGTCTCCTCTTCATTGATACGATCAATGGTGTCCATGGCCATGACCAAACGATTATCCAGAATATTGGCCTTTCGTTTATATTTCGCCAGCTGCTTAATATCGCCCCATACATCATAGGTCTGGACCTGATCAAAATAGGTCTGCAACTCCCTACGAAAACTATCAATTCTTTTCTTCAGAAGCTCCTGATACTCAATGGTCTTATCGGCAATTATGACCCTATGATCCTCAAATATTGATGGCAATTTCAAATACCATTGAAAGGTATTAGAATTATTTTTAATCTGCAGCGGCGAATACAGGGTGTGGTCCATCAGCCACAATATATGGCCCATATTCACCCTCAAACGCTGTTCCATTTCGGGCACCACATTCTCTTCGGTATTTATGACATAGGCCTTAAGGCTCATTAACTCCGCCGTATCCTTTGGTATGGTCAATGCCTTTTTGGCAATGGCCTCATATTCCTTACCCAATTTGGAGATTTTATTCTGCTGATCATTGACCATATGGTTGAGCAGCTGTTCTTGCATATACCGCCCAAAACTTTCCAGATTTCCAATGAATTTCTCCCTATGAAACTCATACAAACCCATACGTATAACACCCCATATATCACGGGATATCTTATCCTCTTTCTCTCGATATTCATGGACCATTTGGCAGAAGGCTTCAAATTCCGGTTGGGCATGAATAAATTTCGATACCCTTTCCGCATCGCGACCATTCATCAAATCAATATATTCATCGAAATCTTGTAGCCGTAGCTCGGGTCCAATACGTTCCTCCTCGAGCAAAGCACAAATACGATTTCGGGTCTCAGCTATGAGGGATTCGGGTATGGCTGGAGTCAATATCAACTTGTCGGAGATTTTCAAATCTGTATATAGTTTACTCTCAATTCGGGGGAGATTTTGCACTGCCAGCACTATGGACTCGATGATGCGTACCATTTCACTTTGAAACTTAGAAAAGTTCGGATTGAAAACAATGACATCTTCATCCTCTAACATCAGGGATATTTTGAAGCCAGGGTTGGATTTCTAAAAGAGAAAATGGGCATGGAAAATTGTTCTTAAAAAATCGATTAAAATACTCAGAATCCTTGAAAAATATCCTTAAAAATCCGTTAAAAAACTCAAAGAGTCATTAAAAATATTCTTAAAAAATCCGACTAAAATAATCAAAAAGTCCTTGAAAAATATTTTTAAAAACCCCGATTAAAATACTCAAAGAGTCCTTGGAAAATATCCTTAAAATATTTTTAAAAAATCCAACTTTGATGGACTGAGATTCCATAAAAAAACATTACAATCGTTGTCCACCAATAAACAAACGTTGTTTTTATAAAAACATCAATAAACGGATAAAGCCTGACCATTTTGCAACAACATAAAAAAATATTTTTAAAAAATCCGCATTTAAATTTCTGAGAGTCCTTAAAAAATATTTTTAAAAAATCCGCATTTAAATTTCTGAGAGTCCTTAAAAAAATATTTTCAAAAAATCCGCATTTAAATTTCTGAGAGTCCTTAAAAAAATATTTTTAAAAAATCCACGTTTAATAGTCTGAGAGTCCTTGAAAAAATATTATTAAAAAATCCACGTTTAATGGTCTGAGAGTCCTTGAAAAAATATTTTTAAAAAATCCACGATTAATGGTCTGAGAGTCCTTGAAAAAATATTATTAAAAAATCCACGTTTGATGGTCTGAGAGTCCTAAAAACAATATTTTTAAAAAATCCACGTTTAATGGTCTGAGAGTCCTTGAAAAAATATTTTTAAAAAATCCACGTTCAATGGTCTGAGAGTCCTTAAAAAAATATTTTTAAAAAATCCACGTTTAATGGTCTTAGAGTCCTTAAAAAAAATATTTTTAAAAAATTCAGGTTTAATGGTCTTAGAGTCCTTAAAAAATATTTTTAAAAAATCCACGTTTAATGGTCTGAGAGTCCTTGAAAAAATATTTTTAAAAAATCCACGTTAATTGGTCTTAGAGTCCTTAAAAAATATTTTTAAAAAATCCACGTTTAATGGTCTGAGAGTCCTTGAAAAAATATTTTTAAAAAATCCACGTTTAATGGTCTTAGAGTCCTTAAAAAATATTTTTAAAAAATCCACGTTTAATGGTCTGAGAGTCCTTGAAAAAATATTTTTAAAAAATCCACGTTTAATGGTCTGAGAGTCCTTGAAAAAATATTTTTAAAAAATCCACGTTTAATGGTCTGAGAGTCCTTAAAAAAATATTTTTAAAAAATCCACGTTTAATGGTCTGAGAGTCCTTAAAAAAATATTTTTTAAAAAATTCAGGTTTGAAATGGTCTAAAAGTCCTTGAAAAAATATTTTTTCCACGTTTGAAATGGTCTAAAAGTTCTTAAAAATATTTTTAAAAAATTCACGTTTAATGGTCTGAGAGTCCTTAAATAATATTTTAAAAAAATCCACGCTTGAAATGGTCTAAAAGTCCTTGAAAAAATATTTTTAAAAAATCCCCGTTTGAAATGGTCTAAAAGTCCTTGAAAAAATATTTTTTCCACGTTTGAATTGGTCTAAAAGTTCTTAAAAATATTTTTAAAAAATTCACGTTTAATGGTCTGAGAGTCCTTAAATAATATTTTAAAAAAATCCACGCTTGAAATGGTCTAAAAGTCCTTGAAAAAATATTTTTAAAAAATCCCCGTTTGAAATGGTCTAAAACTCCTTAAAAAAATATTTTTAAAAAATCCACGTTTAATGGTCTGAGAGTCCTTGGAAAAATATTTTTAAAAAATCCACGTTTAATGGTCTGAGAGTCCTTGGAAAAATATTTTTAAAAAATCCACGTTTAATGGTCTGAGAGTCCTTGAAAAAATATTTTTATAAAATCCACGTTTAATGATCTGAGAGCCCTTAAAAAATATTTTTAAAATATTCACGTTTAATGGTCTGAGAGTCCTTAAATAATATTTTAAAAAAATCCACGCTTGAAATGGTCTAAAAGTCCTTGAAAAAATATTTTTTCCACGTTTGAATTGGTCTAAAAGTCCTTGAAAAAATATTTTTAAAAAATCCACGTTTAATGGTCTGAGAGTCCTTGGAAAAATATTTTTAAAAAATCCACGTTTAATGGTCTGAGAGTCCTTGAAAAAATATTTTTATAAAATCCACGTTTAATGATCTGAGAGCCCTTAAAAAATATTTTTAAAAAATCCACGTTTAATGGTCTGAGAGTCCTTAAAAAATATTTTTAAAAAATCCACGTTTAATGGTCTGAGAGTCCTTGAAAAAATATTTAAAAACAAATCCGCATTTAAATGTCAGAAAGTCCTTGAAAAAATATTTTAAAAAAATCCACGTTTAATGGTCTGAGAGTCCTTGAAAAAATATTTTTAAAAAATCCACGTTTAATGGTCCGAGAGTCCTTGAAAAAATATTTTTAAAAAAACCACGTTTAATGGTCTGAGAGTCCTTAAAAAATACTTTTAAAAAAATCCACGTTTAATGGTCTGAGAGTCCTTGAAAAAATATTTTTAAAAAATCAACGTTTAATGGTGCGAGAGTCCTTGAAAAAATATTTTTAAAAAAAAACCACGTTTAATGGTCTGAGAGTCCTTAAAAAATATTTTTAAAAAATCCACGTTTAATGGTCTGAGAGTCGTTAAAAAATATTTTTAAAAAATCCACGTTTAATGGTCTGAGAGTCCTTAAAAAATATTTTTAAAAAATCCACGTTTAATGGTCTGAGAGTCCTTGAAAAATATTTTTAAAAAATCCACGTTTAATGATTTGAGAGCCCTTAAAAAATATTTTTAAAAAATCCACGTTTAATGGTCTGAGAGTCCTTAAAAAATATTTTTAAAAAATCCACGTTTAATGGTCTGAGAGTCCTAGAAAAAATATTTTAAAACAAATCCGCATTTAAATGTCAGAAAGTCCTTGAAAAAATATTTTAAAAAAATCCACGTTTAATGGTCTGAGAGTCCTTGAAAAAATATTTTAAAAAAATCCACGTTTAATGGTCTGAGAGTCCTTGAACAAATATTTTTAAAAAATCCACGTTTAATGGTCTGAGAGTCCTTAAAAAATATTTTAAAAAAATCCACGTTTAATGGTCTGAGAGTCCTTAAAAAATATTTTTATAAAATCCACATTTAATGGTCTGAGAGTCCTTGAAAAAATATTTTTAAAAAAACCACGTTTAATGGTCTGAGAGTCCTTAAAAAATACTTTTAAAAAAATCCACGTTTAATGGTCTGAGAGTCCTTGAAAAAATATTTTTAAAAAATCAACGTTTAATGGTGCGAGAGTCCTTGAAAAAATATTTAAAAAAAAAAACCACGTTTAATGGTCTGGGAGTCCTTAAAAAATATTTTTAAAAAATCCACGTTTAATGGTCTGAGAGTCCTTAAAAAATATTTTTAAAAAATCCACGTTTAATGGTCTGAGAGTCCTTAAAAAATATTTTTTTTAAAAAATACACGTTTAATGGTCTGAGAGTCCTTAAATAATATTTTTAAAAAATTCACGTTTAATGGTCTGAGAGTCCTTAAAAAATATTTTTAAAAAATCCACGTTTAATGGTCTGAGAGTCCTTAAAAAATATTTTTAAAAAATCCACGTTTAATGGTCTGAGAGTCCTTAAAAAATATTTTTAAAAAATCCACGTTTAATGGTCTGAGAGTCCTTAAAAAATATTTTTAAAAAATCCACGTTTAATGGTCTGAGAGTCCTTGAAAAAATATTTTTAAAAAATCCACGTTTAATAGTCTGAGGGTCCTAAAGTCACCTAAAAATATCCTTAAGGAAAATATCTTTATTTTTTTCACACTTACCGCATAATCACATATAAAATGAGCAAAACGATTCAAACTCCTTATGCACATATCTTCCAGTTGCTGGGTCATCAGAGCTGCCACACAATTATAGAAACGTTGTATCAGCCGAGTCTTCCTTACATCTGGCAACTGGCCACGATTGCTGGCTCTCAATAGGATTGCATGGATCTCACTATACCATTGATTTTCCAGCATATTTTTGGCCTGGTCAACATGGCGCCCAACGGTATACTGCAGAGTTAAACAATTAATTAAATTTATTCCACTTAAAAAAGGTCAGGAGCTTACCGCAAATTCAAATAATTCAAAAGGTGTTGTGACTTTGGAAAGTTCTCGAGCATCAACCAAAGTAATTTCCTTGTATTTGGTATTCCATAACTCCAAAATGTGTGCCACCGAACGATGTATGCAGAAGAGGGTTTTCTTGAGACGACAGCGGTTTTCATCGTAGCTAAGGGAAAAAGTAGAAAGGAGGGAATAATTGAAGGGCTTTTGTCTGTAAAATACCATTGAAAGATCTTCAGCGGATAAAAGCTCTAAGAGAGGTCTTCCGTCTTTAGGAGAAATTTGAAAGATCGACTTACCTTTAACAGGCCTTCTAACTTGTAAAGCTTTTTTGTTTTTAGAATTGCCTACGCAAGCTCTTCGATATTCAGGATATCTTTTAAAGCCCATCGGTCTTTGCGAAACTTTTAAAACCCTTTGGTCTATAAAAGGTCTTCCATAGATCTTCAGCCTAAATCGTTCTATACAAGCTTTTTGAACGATCTTAGGTCTTTAGAAGTTTTTTTTTTTTGTAAGGGCTTCGGTCTATGAAAGTTCTTTGGCCTAAAAAAATCCTTCGATATATAGTGAAAGATCGTTAAAAGCTCTTCATACTATAAAAAAAAAAACTTTAAAAGCTCGTCAGTCTATAGAACACACATTCTAGCTCAACGGCCTATAAAGGATTTTTTTGTAGTTATGTTTTAGTCCTTCTGTGAATGGAATACATCTGAAAGCTTATAGGTCTATTAGAGAACTTTGAAAGTTCTTGGTCGAAAAGAGATTCCTTCATCTAAAACAGATATTTGAAGGTCTCGAGTGGAAACCAAAACAAAGGGACTTTGGCCGATTGAAGATCTCTGAAAGTTATTTGCTCTATTGAAAAAACTTTTGAAAGCTCCTTAATCTATAAAATAACTGTGAAAGCCTTTCGATCTCTAGAAAATATTTTAGAGTTTTTTTATCTTCTGAAAATTCTTCTTAAAAACTTTTGAAAGCTCCTTAATCTATAAAATGACTGTGAAAGCTTTTCGATCTCTAGAAAATATTTGAAAGCTTTTCAATCTTCTGAAAACTCTTCTGGCTGTTAAGGACTCTTGAGTGACCTGGGGAAGGTCTTTAAAAGGTCCTCCTTAGAAGAATTTTGATAGCTCTATACTCTCTTGCTATATAAAAGATCTCTTAAAGCTATTCTGTCTAAAGAAAAACTTGGAAAGATCATCTGTCTATAAAAGGCTATTGAAAGGTCTGGGGTAGGCTTTCAATGACCTTTTATGGGTCAATTACCTATTATAGCGCTATAGTTTAAAGTAATCTGTAAAAGCTGTTTTGTCAATAAAAAGCTTTTGAAGGATATTGAGAAGGCCTTTGAAATGTCTTCTGTTCCTAGAGGCTTTTAAACGTTTCCAATTATAGAAAAATGAAAGCTCAAAACTATCTGCAAAAGCTTTTCGATCTGCAAAAGGTCAATACTCAACACTCTCTTTGCTATATAGGAGATTTTTAAAGCCATATGGTCTAAAGAAAAACTTTGAAAGCTCTTCTGTCTACAAAAGGCTTTTGAAGCATATTGAGAAGGCCTTTTAGGTGTCGTCTGTCCACAGAAGCTTTTGAAACGTTTTCTATTGCAGAAAATTTTTGGAAGCTCCACACTATCTTCAAAAGCTCTTCGATCTGTAAGAGGTATTTTTTAAAAGCCTTCTGTCCATAAAAGGAATTTTAAGGGATTTTTATCTCTAGAAGAAATGTAAAAGCTTTTCAGTCGGTGTTACCTTCTTTCAAAAGCTCTTCGTTTTATACAAGAAAATTAAAATAACTTCTTTCTATGTAAGCTCTTTAAAAGCTTAAAATCTCACTGTTTCTCAAAATCCTATTTTACTCACCGATATCTCCACTTATTCGACATGGCATTGACTTCCTTTCTCTCCTTTGTCATGGCAACTTTTGTATCCTTTTTGAGATTTGTCAAAGAATTTTGCAAAACAAAATCCACCACAGCTTTTTTCATCGAGAAGATATAATCCGATTTGATTTCATTGATATTCTCCGACAGAGCTGATTCCCATTTATTTAAGACAGGTGGAATTTGACTTTTAATTCTGCGGGGGAGAGAGAGAAAAAAATGGGAATGGGAGGAAGAGGGAAAAGACAACCAATTATATGCTAATCATTCGATCTGATTTTTTTTTTCTTCGGAAGAAGTCAATGCCAATAATGACATTATCATCCTCCTCTCTTTTGCTAACCTGTTTAAGACTTTTTTGCTCATTGGTGAAACGTGAATGGTATCGATGCCATGCTTAATGTAGTAGTAATAACGTAACACCTCCTTTTCATGTTGATTGGGAAATTCGCCATCCCAGTCCATGGCGGCACCGCTGGCACCATCATCATTTATCGTGGCAGTGGTGGCCTCATCATCTTTACGGGCAATTAATTCCACCAACTTTTTGCGAAAGTTTTCTCGTTCCAAGCGCATTTGCATGTATGAAGGGCGTCCTGCAAAAAAAAAATGGGGGGACAAGAACAAGGCAGAGTAATGGCAAATAGTGTTGCCGGCATAAAGAAGAATGTAACAAGTTTTGCTGTTGTTTTCCATTTTTGTTTTCCTTTATTTGTGGTAATCACCCAATGGAACTTTAAACGTTAGTTACTTTAAATGTTCCAACATTGGCCACGATGATGATGCCGTTGATGATGGTAAGGACCACATCGGAGTAATGCCAAAAACGCAAAACAACAAAGTTTCTGCAAGGACCAACTTTTCCTACTTATCCTCTTACTACTGCCAAACTTCACCAGCAGCTGTTCCTGCTGCCATCTTCCCCTTCTTCCAATAATACCACTAATGCTACTTACGTTCCTTCTTCTTTGTTGGCACCTTACGTTTAGGACGCATTTCCCGACTATGACACAGCAAACTCTCAGGTATGGTAGTTGACAACATTCTCCCATCCAATATTTCACTTGTACACTCGGGCATATTCATTTCATACCAGAGGCGTCGGGCATTGTAGGCCGGATTGGCCTTGGATTGTAGAATACTTTGCAGGACATCGGGCTTGGGGCGATTGTAGACAAATTTTTGCTTGGAGCAGGGACGCTTGACTGAAGTTGTTGACCCGCTCGCACCACTACTACTCGTGGCATGTTGATGGGAGGTATAGTATTTGGGTTGTGCTGAAACGAAAAATTTAGAAATGTTTGATATTCAAATACATTCTAAACTAAGTATCCTTCATAAAGATCGAAACCCCTAAAAATATATATTTTTCAAAACAATTTGGAAAGCTTTTCGTTTCCACCTCTACCTGATGATAATTGATACAACCAATTCCTGAAATACATCATATTTTATAAGGCTGCCCTACATTCTTTGGAAACCCAAATATCCAAAACAATACCTTAGCAAAAATTGATGTTGACCCATTTCAGCACCTTACATCAATACATTGTATCTCTTAACTAAATTAAAAAATATCAAATCGAAAGAGCAAACCATTCTGCAAATGATTTTCCATATTTAAATATCTGTCTAAATTCATATAAAATTGAACGATATGTCGTACAATCCAAATGTACGTTAGTTTTCGCGGTGTTTGTCTAAACTAAGCAGCGCCATCTTTATTTGAGAAAAGCAGGTAAAATATTTCCACTTGGGTATGGAACTTTGATAAATATTCTTTGGTGGTGAATTTGACAACAGGGATGGGAAAGCAAAATTTGTAACAATAAATAATGCATTTTATACCCTCCACCATCAGTGTTGTCTGATTTGGCGATTTCTTGCCAAAAGTGGCGATTTTTCAATGCGATTGGCGACTTAATTTTATATCTGGCAACATGGCGATTTTTTGGCGCATTATAGAACAGTTGCCGATTTTGTTGGCGAATTTTAGGAAAATACACATTTTTTCTCATCTGAAAATAAATCCAAGATTCAATTTCTGTTACAATTGAATACACAAAAGTTTTAAATTATTAAAAAAGTTTTAGATGAGTTAAGCATTGCCGTTGACAAATGAAAAGATATCGGAAAATATGAATACATTTAGAGTCTTGGCAACATTTTCAATTTTAAAATGTGGCAGTCAATAATCGTATACATAATACTAAGCACCATGAACAAGTAAAAAAGCTGTAAGTTCGACCGGGCCGAACTTTGAATAACCCCCACCATTTGGAATGAATTTGGCAATTTTCAACAAAATAAAATCCTTTAAAAAACTCTGTTAAAATCTTAAAAATACCAAATATAGCCGTTATATTAGGGTCTGCACGAAGTGGCGATTTTTCAGTGCGTTTGGCGACTTAATTTTTGATCTGGCGACGTGGCGATTTTTTTGGCGCATTATAGAACAGTTGGCGAATTTTAGAAAATTATGCATTTTTTTCTCTTTAGAAAGTAAATACTAGGTTCAATTGTAACAAACATGCACCATAGCGAAACTATTGAAAGAGTTTTGGAAGAATTGAGCACTATCATTGACAAATGCAAAGATATTATCGAAAAATATGAATACAATTAGAGTCTTCGCAAAATTTTAAATTTTGAAATGTTGCAGTTAATTATCACATACAAAAACTATGCAACAAAATCAAGTAAAAAAGCTTTGAGTTCGTCGGGCCGAACTTTGAATTAGGCAATTTTCAAAAAAAATCCTTAAAAAAATTCTGTTAACATCTTAAAAATACCGAATTTAGCCTTTATGTTGGGGTCATGGTAGAAGAATACAGGTAGATGCATCAACGCTTGGGAATATTGATATGTCAACAATTTTTAAATGTTGCTCCAAAACTAAATAGATTTTTATATATTTTCTTATACGACGTCATTCTGAGGTTATTATAATAAGCGGTTTTTAACAATTTTAACAAATTTAAATAATTTTTCATTCAACATTTTCAATTCCAAAATTGGTTTGACAGTTAATTGTCCCAGCAGATGTGTCGATGCGCCTACCTATATTCTTCTACCATGATTGGGGTCTATAGGACGATGTGGACCTGCATAGGCAAATTTTGTCATAAGCTATTACAATATTCAAATGCGAAACTTGCAAAAAAAATTGGTGAATAATGTAACTAAAATCATCAAAATATCGAATATATGGAGGTACTATTATATGGGGGCTATACCAAAACGTGGACATGCACAGATAATTTTCCGCCATAGACTATAATATCCATTACGAACTTCAAATGCCAAATTTGAATAAATTCCGGTAAATAATGTCGCTTAAATCATCAAAATACCGAATATCGGAAGGTGCCGTTATATGGGGGCTTTACGAAGACGTGGACATATGTGGGGGCTATACCAAAACGTGGACCTACATGGCCAATTTTCAATACCAAAAGTTCTGCAGACATAATATACATTTGAGTAAAATTTTATCAACCTATTTCATTTCGTTCGGAAGCTAGAGTGATTTCTACAGACGGACAGACATCGACATAGAATTTTATGCTGGGGTCTAAAATACTTTGTGGGGTCTAAAATGTATATTTCGAAACGGAATGACAAACTTAATATACCCTCCAACATGGTTTGTCCGAACACATATTTTTTGCCTTTTTTTCTTCACTCGCTTTCACTTTATTGAACTTTTAGGTAATCGAACAATATTTTGTAGAAAATATTAGGTTATCTATCTTACAAACCTCTGAATAAACCCACTATAATAAAAATGAACTCCACGCAAATTCGAACGTATTTTTCCACAGCTTTGACACTACCTATAATTCATATAAAACACACTGCTAAAACACTACATTGGCATCACTGCATTAAACGAAATGTCAAATCACACATGTTTTCTCTCTTCTCGCCGGCTTACTCTCTTACGTTATCGAAAAACAACGTTCTCTCAAAACGTGTGCTGTCAAAAATTTCTTATTGTGCAACACAGAATCACAAAAAGTACGAATTCAATTGAATTTTCTTAATTATTTTATAAAAATCTCAAATAAACTAAATAAAATGTGAAATAAAAACCATACCAGAATCCGAGCGACGTTTCATTGTTGTAAAATCATTGAAAATATGCGAGTTGAGAAGTGTTGTTTCGTTGGAAATTTCGGCTAGTCAGCCAAAGGCTTTTCGTTTGATTCTTCAATGGGGATAATTTCACGATTTATCTGGCGTTTTACACAATCTTATTAAATGTTATTGTTTTTTTTTTTTTTCTATTTTTTTAATTAAATGTATTATTGAAATATATTTTTCCAATTGAAAACTTTTACACTTCCAGACGTTTTGTCGTTGACGAGTTTTTCCTTGTATTGCCATTTTATTGATTTTGTTTGTTTTTCTATTTAATTTTTTTACCTTGGAAACCAGCCGGTGTTGGGACTGTCAGCACTAAGGAAAATTCAACGTAAATTCAACAAGTTTCGTCACCCAGAGTTACTGACCGCCATCACAGCATAACAATGGTTGTTTTCCAACAGTTTGCCAGATTCCTCCACACCACACGTGCTGTGTATGCCGGTGCTGAGAAAAGTGCATTGGCCGCCTTGAGAAAAAAGACCGGCTACACCTTTGCCAATTGCAAGAAGGCCCTGGAGTTGCACAACAATGATATCAATTTGGTAAGTTTTATTATCTTTCAAAAAACTTAAATAGCAAAGTTCTATCCGTGTGAAAATCTTATGAATTTGGAACCGATTTAAAGTTCAGAAGCCACTGGCATCAGAAAAAAAAAACTTTCCAACAAAACGAAGAACACTTTGGACACCAATATCGGAAACAAAATAGGTTCTCTGGGGAGATAAATAAAACATAATTGCAGAAGGTTGATAAGAAGTCTCACTTCTCCCTATAAAACACCTAAAGGAGGTCTACCGTACCACAGCTGCCATGTCGTACCCTTTCTAATAGTCAAGCTTGTTATTCTTTTACCTTTTTCTAACACACTGCCTCCTCTTTTATTTTTTAGAACTCCTAGCATACAGTCTTAGAAAAACTATGGAAATCCGTAAAATCAGGGTTCTTGGTAGACGCTTTGCCTTCGTTATAAAGTCCTGCATTAGAAAGACATGGATAACTCCCCCACCTTAAAATCCATTTGGATACTTTCGTAGAGGAAATAGACCACGTCTACATTTCTTTCGCTTGCAGTCCATGGAGCTACTTTTCACCCTAACATAGCCGTTCTACTTCAAGGGTATAACGAAATATACCCTGGTGATTTCAACCTGTGCCTCGAGTTATCTTATTCCTAGCTACCGACACATGCCTATGAGATTCCAATTATGAAAATAATGACATACACAGGAGAGACCTTAGCCTCCTCTTAGGACTTCTCTTGAAAGTCCATCTTAATCCAGTCGCTCCAAATAGGCGCAGAAACTTGACTATGTTAACATCAGTTTAAAACATATTTAGTCATAGAGGATATCCTTTTAAAAAACAAAAAAATCATTCGCCTTTGGTACTTTCCAGCATTCACAAGTCAATCAATCGTTAAGTGGACAATAAGTGTGACCTTTACACTTATCTCCAAATTAATCCCATCTAAGTTCCTCGGCCCAGACTGCATTAAAATACACTCAATAAAGGGTAGGATTGTAGGACAGACCTCTGACAATATAAGATATCGTTTCTAATATCGGAAATCTTGTTTTATTTTTCTCATTTTCTGTTTTGGATCAAATTGAATGTGGTACCCAAAAAGACGTCCTTTCCTACCTGCAGGATATTACATATCTGCCCAATTGTCTATCAAGATTTCTGGTCAAATACATTTATAATCACGCCTCCGATTCAGTGTCCACTACTAATATTTCCATTTTTTCCTAATCTTATTTTCCTTTTAGGCTGAAAAATGGTTGAAAGAGCAAGCTCAAAGTCTTGGCTGGTCCAAGGCCACCAAATTGGCTGAAAGGGCCACAGCTCAAGGTTTAGTTGGTGTTTTGGTACGTGGTAATATTGGAGCCATGGTAGAGGTGAACTGTGAAACTGATTTTGTGGCTCGCAATGATAATTTCAAGAATTTCGTTGACCATGTTTCCCGGGTCTGTGCCCAATACACAGAATTGACGCAATTTGATGGAGATCTATGGAAGGTAAGTTGTAACAAAACCCAACAATTATGGATCTTATAATTAACACATATATTCCCTCTCTTCTATTTTAAGTCCGGTTTCGAAGCTGAAGCCTTGAAAAATCTCAAAACACCCGATGGCAAATCTTTGGCCGATCATTTGGCCCTACTCATTGGTACCGTAGGTGAAAATGCCTCCATCAAGAGGGCCATTTGCTTTAAGGTCAGCAATGATCTGCAACTTTCCGGTTATGCCCATCCCCAGACATCGGCTGCCATTTGTCCACAAAATGTTACACAGTTGGGTAAATATGGTGCCATTGTTGCATTCCGTGGTAATAAAATCGATGAAGAGCTACAGAAAAATCTTTGCCAACATATTGTGGGGTTGAATCCCAAAAAGGTCGGCGAGGAGGGCAAGGATGAGCCCAACTCCAATAAGGATGAAGAAACATGTCTGATACATCAAGAATATCTGATCGATGATGACAAAACTGTTGGTGAAGTATTGAAAGAGAATAATGTTGCCATTATTGATTATCAACGTTTCGAATGTGGTGAAGTGGCAACAAATGATGATTTGGAACAAGCCAAAATGAGCAATTGACAAATGCGCCAGGGGAAAGTATTGGAGGGTCTGCCCGAAGGGGTCTGAGAGGTGAATAATTAAAATTTAATAATTTGTTGATAGAATACTATGTTATTCTTCTGTATATGATTTTAAATGAAAAGCTACAGAATATATTTACACATATGGACGCTTTTTCCATTCAATGTTATTGTTAAAGCTTAAATAAATATGAAACAAACATACTGTAGTTATAAAAATACAATGTTATCCTATACCATGACCTAAACTACTTATATTTTTATTATGTGTTTAGGGCAAACAGAATGAACAATTGCGGGACCTACTATAGGATGTCTCACACCACTGCATATAATTAACAGAACTACCTGTAACAGATACATATTTATATAGGCAATTGTAAAAAGTACATCGTACCAACTATGATCGGTACTCTATGCGATTTACGGCTTTCGAACGACTGGATTTTAATATAAGATGATAGGAGACATATTTTAATTTGAATATATTTCTACTGAGTTTGAAGGAGTTACTGGATTCTGCTGCATGCGACCTCTCATAGCAAATATTAATGCAATAGAGTAAAAATTATGTCTTTGCAAAGGCTTAAATATATAAAATCGGATGAAACCTGTATGTCAAAGTTATAAATATCTAATTTGAATTGGTCTGCTGAATCATATATTGGAGCTTAAGCAATATCTGAACTCATTTCCATCAAATCTCATAAATTCAACTCTACACTGAATTCGGTCGTATGTGCCAAAATATGTTACACCTTTGCCAATTGCAAGAAAGTCCTGGAGTTGTACAACAATTATATAAATTTGGTAAGTTTAGCTTAATTATATTTTAATGGAAAAATTTTAAAAAGTTGCGAAGTTCCTCCAATGTGGAAATCTTATGAGGTTCGAACCGATTTCAAGTTTTGAAGCCACTGACATCAAAATAATCATTCCAAAAAAAAAAAAAAAAAACGAAGGACACGTTGAACACAGACGCCGAATATTAAATTTGTCATTCCGTTTGCAACATCACGAAATATTCGTCGGAGATCCCAAAAAGTATATATTCTTGATCAGCATAAAATTTTAAGTGGATTTCGCGATGTCCGCCCGTCTGTTGAAATAACTATTTTTTTTGTGGAGCTTTGAAATTTGACACAGAGTTTAATATTATATGCAGGCTGGTTGGTATTGAAAAGGGGCTATATGAAACCACTTTTAGGTATAGCCCCATATAACGGTAACTCCAGATTTTCGGTTTTTTGAAACTTCCTACCACGATTTACAACCAAATAAGCTGACACTTTACATTTCTTGTTAGATCTGTTCGCTCCCTGCAAAAAATAACGGTACCTTCCAATTTTCGGTATATTGCAGTTTTCTGTCACAATTTCTAACTAAATTAGATTGAGGCTCGCGGTAGGTCAGTTCTCTCTTTGCAAAAATGGTTTTATTCAGGTCAATTAATTGGCATAGCCCCCGTATAATGTACCTCCGGATTTACGGAATTTTCAATGTTTCTGCAAAATTTCCAACCAAATTAGATGAAACTTGACAGTTAGGGTTCCCGCCAGGTCCGTTCTGCCCTTACAAAAACTGTTCTCTCTTTGCAAAAAATGTTCGATTCAGGTACACAAATAGATATAGACCCCATATAACGATATCTCAAGATTTTCAGCACTTTGAAAATTTCTGCCACAATTTCCAACCAAATTGAGTTTCGCTATTTGTATTATTTTGTATACCCTTTTTGTATATCCACCATACATAGTATGGAGGGAGGGTATATTAAGTTAGTCATTCCGTTTGTAACCCATCGAAATAATAATTTTACTCCCAACAAAGTATATATTCTTGACCAGCGTAAAATTCTTAGACGATCATCCGCCTATCCGCCTATTATAATCATGCTAGAGTCAAAACAAATACAGATGGGAAACTAAATTTTTGCATCGTCCTGTCTTTTGTCATTCCAGGTCAAGGAATAGGTCCATGATATCGTGTAGCCCCCACATAACGGTACCCCCGATATTCGGTATTTTTATGATTTTTACCAAATTTTTCAATGGAATTATCTACGCAAGGAGTCCTTCGTGATTACTCCGCCCGCTGAAGAAGAATTGTCCATATAGGTCCACGATATTTCCCATATAATTGTACCTCCCGAAATTCGGTATTTTGATGATTTTAGTCACATTTTTCAATGGTATTGTCTGGAGTTTTCTTTAAGTACTTTACCCACTGAAAGAGAAGTTTTATATAGGTTCACGATATGGTATAGCCCCCATACAATGTTGCCCCCGATAGTCGGTATTTTTTTTTATCAATTTAGCCTAATTTTTCAATGGAATAGTCTGAAAATCCACACAAGGTGTTCCCTCTTAGTACTTTACACCCTGGTAAATAATTTTTATATAGGTCTACGTTTTACTAAAGCGCCCATATAAGGCTAACCCGAGATATTCGGTATTTCCAGAATTTTCGGGACAATATTCACCGGAATTGCGTCAAATTTTGTATTTGAAGTTCATAATGGGTACTACAACCTATGACAGAAAACTGTCCGTGTAGGTCCGCGTCTTAGTATAGCCACAATACAAAGTTACCTCCCCATATTCGGTATTTTGATAATATTAGCGACATTATTCATCGAAACTGTTTCGAATTTATTATACGAAGTCCGGAATCGATACTACATCTTATGACAAAACAAAATACTTATCCAGCTCCACTTCGTATAGCCTCCACATAAAAGTTTCCATTTGAGTTATATTTTTTGACAGTTTTTTTTTTTTTAATTTTCAAGCTCCTTCCGAGTGGTGGAGGGTATAAAAAGTTCGGCCCGGCCGGAGTTAGCTGTTTTTTTACTTGTTTTATTTTAAGTAAAACAGATTGATATTTTAAGTTAACATATTCTTCTATTTCCATTACTTCGTTTTAATTTGATAAATACAGTGGTGGAAGTTATAAAAAATCGGGCCGGCAGAACTGAAATCCTTTTGTTATGTGTTTTATAAAAAGAACACTTATTTATTAGTGTAGTGATTCCACTTTTTTGACATTGATTGTAGAAAAGTTTTTGTGATATGAGCGGTTTGTAAATAACTTTTGGAATGAATATCCCCAAACAAAAAAACAAGGGAACTGTCCAGGATTGATGGCTCTTTCCTGCCTTATCCCCCAGTAAACATTGTCATTGTAGTTTTTATAAAAAAAAAATAATTAAGCCTCCTTGTTTTGCAACGACTACATCTAGTTTCAAATTAAACACTTACTAGGATTCGAAAAAATTGATTATTCGAGTTTTCGAAAAAATTGATTATAAACAATCAATTATTTCGAATTTTAAGAAAAAGATCGAATGGTCCTAACATATCCATATACTTAGATACTTGATACTAAATACTTGATCGTAATGGATACTACAGCACATAACAGAAAATTGGCTGTGCAGGTCCACGCCTTCATATAGCCCCCATATAACGACACTCCCCGCTATTCGGTATTTTGATGATTTTAGAGACATTATTCACCGGAATTGTTTCAAATTTGGTATTTAAACTTCGTAATGGATACTACAGCCTATGAAAGGAGATTGTCTGCGCAGGTCCACGTCTTCGTATAGCCCCCATATAACGGTACCACTCGATATTCGGTATTTTGATGATTTTAGCGACATTAATCACCGGAAGGGTTTCAAATTTGGTATTTGAAGTTCCTAATGGATACTACAGCCTATAACAGAAAATTGTCTATGCAGGTCCACGCCTTCGTATAGCCCCCATATACTAAACACTAGGCTCTATGATACTAGCCTTCTGGAAACCCGTAATCTCATATTGCTTCTAAGCGGTGTACCTGATTACGTTGATTTTTCGAACTTTGTCTCCAATAAATAAAAGCTTATGAATCATACATTAACATTTTCCAATTATTCCACAGAAGGTTACAAAATTGAAAATAAAAAAACATAATTGCCATGATGGGGATAGAGTTTCATTGAACTCAGTTACCACAAATAAAAAACTCACTTCCCCTCTCTAAAGTTAGAACTTATTTTTTTTTTTTTTTTTTGAATTTCATTCCATTATCTTCCAAAAGGTCACCATCAGTTTGGTGATGATCACAATACATAGCTTTTTTGTTTGTTATTATTTTTTCAGTTCTTCCTCCACAATTGTGCTGATATCTGAACTCCAGTTGAGTGAGGGATCTACGCATGAGTGACAACCGGCAGCAGGTGCATGCATAACAATTTCATAAACAAATGAATATAAAAAACAAAACAAAACATGACAATAAGAGTGGTGATGTTAAAAAGAGACCACGGCACGTCCATACATATGTATACGTGCCGACTAACAGCTGGTTGTTGGCTGGTGGTCTGTTGGCCAAAACACCGAATATAGAACGTCTTCTATTCCACTTTGGATTTTGGGGTTGCAATCAAAAGAAGTGCATAAAGAGAAGTGGCAAGTCCAACTTGCCGTTTGGTAGACGAAATGCTCATAATGATGTATGAAGGTGGGCAAGAAGCAAAGTAGTGTTTCTTCACAAAATGAAGGCTACGCTTAAAGAAAGGTGCTGAGAAAGTACAGTGACTCGAGGGTGAAATATATTTGCGCTTAGTATTTGTCGGGGAGGGAGGAAGAAAAATAATTGCTTTCAATGCAAGTAAATATTGACTTTTCGATGTTAAAATTCAAGGTATCGTTTTGAAGACGAAGTGTGGTGTTATAACCTCCACCAGAGTATGGAGGGTATATTCAGTTTGTCATTCCGTTTGTAATACCTCGAAATATACATTTTAGACCCCACAAAGTGTATATATAAATTCTTGATTAGCATACAATTCTATGTCGATTTAGCGATGTCCGTCCGTCGGTCACTCTATCTTCCGAACGAAATGAAGTATGTTGATAAAATTTTACTCAAATGTGTATTATGTCCGTATGACTCTTGGTACTGAAAATGGGCCATGTAGGTTCACATTTTGGTATCGCACCCATATAATGGTACCTCCCCATATTCGGTATTTTGATGATTTTAGCGACATTATTTCCCGAAATTGTTAAAAATTTGGTGTTTGAAGTTAGTAATGGATTCTACAGCCTAAGACAGAAAATTGTCTGTGCATGTCCTCGTCTTCGTATAGCCCCCATATAACGGTACCTCCCGATATTCGGTATTTTGATGATTTAAGAGACATTATTTACCGGATTTTTTTCAAGTTTCGCATTTCATTATTGTAATGGTCCCTAAT